ATTGACAGGTTGTTGATGAAAATGATCAGACATGTTGCATTCTGCCGGTTATCATGAACCTGTCAAGTGCATTATCACCTATAAAAAAAAAAAAAAAAAAAGAAAGAAAAAAAAGTGAAAGTAAAAGTAAAAAAAAAAATATGTATATATATTGTATCATTGGTCATTATTCATTTTCGTATAGGGAATTATTTGTCTTGTGAACATTTTTCTCTTCTAACTGATATTTATTCACCATCATTAAGTGTGATCATCATTATTACAATGTGTAATTACTTTGATCAACGTAATAATTTCTGTAATTATCATCCTAATGAGATTATAGCGTGAAGCTCTAATGATCCCTTTCATTGTTATTGGTGCTATTTACTTCAAAAGCTGTAATTATTTCATGAATATCGCCAGTATAACAGATATTTGCTTGTAAAAAGTGTGATGTACTGATACCCTCCAATCCACGCCCTGTCAAAGTCATATAAAAGTAGCCCCTTAGCTCTGTGGTTCACCATCTTTGTTCTGACACCCCCGACCCCAATCTGACACCCCCCCCAATCTGACACCCCGACCCCCAATGTGACACCCCCTGACCCCAATCTGACCCCGACCCCAATGTGACACCCTTGACCTCAATGTGACCCCCCGCCCCAATCTGACACCCCCGACCCAATCTGACACCCCCGACCCCATGTGACACCCCTGACCCCAATGTGACCCCCCGACCCCAATCTGACACCCCCGACCCCAATCTGACACCCCCTGACCCAATCTGACCCCCCGACCCCAATCTGACACCCCCGACCCCAATGTGACACCCCCGACCCCACCCCCGACCCCAATCTGACACCCCGACCCCAATCTGACACCCCTTGACCTCAATGTGACCCCCCGCCCCAATGTGACACCCCCTGACCCCAATGTGACCCCCCGCCCCAATCTGACACCCCCGACCCCAATCTGACACCCCCGACCCCGTTCCGCTACCCTTCTGACCCCGTCCTGACCCCGTTCTGACCCCGGACCCCCTGACCCGCTTCCTTCCCGCAGACGGAGGCGGCGGCGCGGCTGACGGAGCTCGAGCGCCTCCTGGACGAGCACGACCAGATCATCCGGGAACTCAAGCGGTCGGAGAGCGACGGCGGCGGCATCAACTACGCGGGCGTGGCCTCGGCGCCCACCCCTGCCACGCCCCTGGACATCCTCCCCATCACGGTCACGCCCCCAACCACGTCTCGCACCGCCCCCACTTCCCCGGCCAGCACCGGGCCCCGGTCTGCCCAGTAGCAGCGCCTGTGAGGAGCCCGCCCGGAGGAGGAGGGGGCGTAGGGCAGGGGGAGGGGGGGCCATTCGCGTAGGGTGAGGGGGAAGTCGCAGGAGGAGGACGAGGCCGCAAGGGCGGGAGGAGGCCGCCGGAGAAGGCGCGGAGGTGCACAGGACTTTCCTGGAATCTGCGGAAGCTTCGAGAAATTTCTTCAAGGGCGTTGGCGTGGCTGGCTTAGGCAGACGACCCACGCTCAACTATAATCATAATGTATAATCAAAATTATATATTTCTTCTTTCGCTAGGCTAAGCACGAATCAGCGTCTCTGCCTTTAAAACGAGGCCTTATTTACACAAAAAGATAGCTTACCATTAATAAGAATAAACCTACATTAGACTCGTATTGTGGACAAAGGAGTTTGGGGCTTCAACTACAAAGAGCAGGAGCAAGGATGAAACAGAACAGGAGACAATGACACTGTTGCAAAAAGCACATTCGCGAAGGACCGCAAAACCCTTGAGCAACAGAAGTGCGAGGAGAAAAACCTCAGCGTAACATCAACACGCGAAAGGAATTAGGCAAAAGTCGTGTTTTTCTCTCGCTTTTTCTCAAGTCACTTCCATCTGTACGCTGGGCTGGCTCCGACTCCCACGTGGCACTCGCACCTAAGTGCCTCTGTCGCCAGGGCCACTAAAGCACTCGCACTTGGCACAGTTAAGGCACTCAGACGCACTCTTTATGCACTGCAACACCATGTATGCACAAGCGTTTCTCTACGGCACTTAGATGTACTTGGAGCTGAGCCATGTACATATTTATATATATGAGCGAGCTCGTGAGCTGAACGAACGAATGGAGTGTAACAAAGTCTGGTAACGTGAGTGACATGTTTTCACATACTCGTTTCACAGCCGAAACACGACCACCGCGCTGCACTGGCACGCACTCACAGCAAGGCTATTCTACTGCACAGGTAACACACCCACTTACGTCATCGCATCACCTTCCACGTAACAAAGCACGCACTTTGTCTCACTCAGCACCTGTCGCACTGCACGAGCACTGACATATGGACACAGCACCAGCACAGTAACGTGACCACAGACAAGCACTGCATCTGCACGTGCAGATAACAGCACTGCACATATCACTGACAAGCACAGTACTTGTAGCACAGCACAGGTAAATACCAGCACGTATAGCACGGCACATGTACAGGTATATTACAGGTCATTTGTAGTACCATCCATGTACAAGTGTACAAATACACTATAGCATTGCACTGAACCAAGTGGGTTAACAACACCTAAAGCACTGCACAAACACAGGCACATGTCCGCAGTGCAGTAATCAAAGCACATCGTTCTTGTCTCGCAGCACAGCACAGCCTCAGGACATGGGCCTCACGTAGCTCCGCACAGCACCACCGCAAGCACAGCGCCACAGCCGCCCCTTGGCGTGGCGGAACGACGTGAGCCGAATCCACAGTTCCTTCCGAAAGACCTGTTGTTGCGTTAATTGAAGACATCCAGAGCTCCCTCCGGCACGGCCACGCGGAGCCGGAAAGCCCTGGTGAACCTCTGCGCCTGACGGAGAGAGAGCTCGAGTCGAGGAGCTCAGCGAGCCTCGAGCAGGACCTCGACACTTCCCCCGAATCTCGACGCCGATGAGGACGAGCCCCTCCGGCGGTGCGAATCGCCGGCCAAGCTTTGTTTGGAATGGTTTTCATAGTTTTCCTTTAAATATTGCTTTGATTCTTAAATATATATATATATATATATATAATATATATATATATATATATATATATAATATATATATATATATATATATATATATATATATATGTATATATATATTATATATATATAATATATATATATATATATATATATATATATATATATATATATATATGTATGTATGTATGTATGTATATACATATACACATATGTTCTGATCATTCCGCTATTCTTGGTTATCCTTTGGAATCGTTTTATGTTATGATGTGATGTCCTATAGACGAGATAACCAGATGTTCGACTTGAGTGTTCTGTTGACCGTGTTTTGCTGGTCCCTGTGACACGTTCACTTCCCGTCACCTAGGACAGCCTAGACTTTGGCCGTGCAAATTCATCGTACATTCTAGCTCGGAGCTACATACAATGTTACATAGATAGTGCTAATAGTATCTATATTGATGTATGTTAAGAGTTGTGTTGGCAAGATGGTCTCGCAGTTGACCAGCCTCGACTATTTATGTATCTGTGATGGAGTGGAATATATTTTGTCGAGATTAATGTCCGAACTTAGAGGAAATAGAGGTTTTTGGTCAGAAGCCCGGCCAGCAGTGGTGTCCGGGCACTGTGTACCAGTTCTGCCTTCTACAAAGTGTTGCTGTTGAAGGTGACAGAGGTGAAAACACGCGTAAATTAAGTTATCTCTGTTTTGTACAAGGTTAAGGCAATTACCTGAGTTTCGAAGAATTTCTGACTTAGTTGACCTAGCTCCGTTGGGGAGATGACGGATCTTGAAGTTAGCGTTAGTCTGCATTAGAATTCCTTTATTTATACAAAGCCAATTTTTTTCTAATCTACACTTAGTGGAATAATAAAAAAATAAGAAATAGTTCTAGACATTAGTGCCTCAAAAGAAGCCATTCCTTTGCGTCCGTCGTAGTAGTTTGTGGCTGACGAAGGACGAAGGGAAGCGGGACTCCCACGGCCCGGGAGCGAAAGCACGGTCCCTGTCGAAGGAACGCCCACAACGCCCCGCCCGCCTCGCTCGGGGCGCGAAGCCGGGGGCGAGGCGGCGGGAAGGAAGTGCAAGCAGCTGATGGCCGGAGCTTCTGCCTGGAGGACAAGGGGGATCACGATGCCATGGGAACCAACCAAAAGATTGAAACAAAACAGTTACATCCAAAAAAGCTAAAAAAAAAAAAATGTACTCTAGTTATCATAACAAAAAGTGGTTCTGTGTTCTACTCTATTCTGTGTCCTAGAATATAGAAGCGCGGCAGGCAAGATGGCCTGTCGTTAGTCGTGGATATTTAGCATTCCCGCGGAGGGCCAGGTCAGGTCAGGTCGCCGAGGAGACTGCCTCAGGTCGTCGCCAGGATGGTCGACGACGACTCTCCTCTGCTCTGACGACCCGCTCCTGCCGGGACGACTCGGGGTCCTGAGGCGTCCGACCTCGAGAGGGCGATGTCAGGGGACGTCGCGGGTCGCCCGCGGGCGCCACTTGCCCCTCCGCACGCGCACACAGACACACACACAGGAATTAGCGAGATGCACGTGCACAGATGCCTACATATACACGTACACGCACGGATGCACACACACACACACACACACACACACACACACACACACACACACACACACACACACACACACACACACACACACACACACACACACACACACACACACACACACACAACACACACACACACACACACACACACACACACACACACACACACACACACACACACACACACACACACACACACACACACACACACACACACACACACACACACACACACACACATACACACACACGCGCACGTACATATACACTCACACACACATAATTTATGTTATGGTGACACAATGGCCTCTTGAAATTTGGTTTGGGCTGAAGCTAGCCTCACTTTAATATTAAGTACAGCATGTTAATCCCGTATGTATTTCCTTTTAGTTTAGTCTTCCAGACGAAGGAAATGTATGTATAAAA